TTATTAACCTGAAAAAGAAATGAGCTGATATATGAATGCGGGCCCAACATTGCATAAGTTAGCTCACCGTTCATCACTTGATGTGCAGCTTGCTTGTGCACATGATGTGTACCTGGCAAGAGCACGTGATGAACAGTGACGTTTGAAAGAACTCCAACTAGTTTTATGCGCTCTGGTGGGGGCCGGGCTATATGGGGGTGTGGTCTACTCAGCCAATCACAGGACAGGTGGTGTAGTGGGGAGGGCTCACTGGGGGCGTGGTCTACTCAGCCAATCAACGGACAAGTGGTGTAGTGGAAGTCTCTCAATAATGAAGCAAAGGGGGGGGGGTGTAACTAACACGTGCAGCTACTAATCATATTTGTATCAATCCAAAACAATATACAGGCTTAAAACTGAAGTAAAGTCCATTAAAAGGTATAAGTTGTTCGCTTAAGAATGGTATATAATCAGAGAAACAATTTTCTTCAGGCCTCAGGAACAAGATATTAAATCAATTAAATTACTAACCAAGCTAATTACAATATGAAATTACGACAACATTTAGCAGACACCAATATGTAACCCATGCAATATATTTAATTATACATGTAGATTTCAACTAATATATCACACCATTTCAGCTACGCAAACACAATATGGAACAGAGAATAATTAGACCTACCTATTTCAGTAGAAATCAGGAACACTTGGTGTATAAAGTTAGGCCACGATAACTCTAGAAAAGAAAATGCACATTAAATTTATTAAGTATTGTAACCATTTTATGCGTTTATTTAAAAAAAAAATCTTAAGCAAGCTATATTTTAATTTCAAATTATCAGAAGATACATAAAACGGTTTTGTTATTGATTAAAGACCTATGAGATAGTTTGATTATTGTTTTCAAACCATTCCCAATAACAATCAAATAAGGAAATCACTGACAGTATTTTCTATCTTAAACAATCATATAAGAATCATCTTCATCAAGCTACATTTTAACAAAGTCAAAATTCAAACCTTTGAATGATCACAAAAACAGTTTTATTACTGTCGCAAGAAGGAAATAGCTATCAGTTATTTTCAATCATATACAATTGCGATTCCCAATAAAAATCAAATAAGAAAATCACTAACATTATTTCCATTATAAACAATCGTATAAGGAAACACCTACATTTTAACAAAGTCAAAAACATATATTAAATTAATCGAAAGATCACAAAAACTATTTTATTATTTAAAAACCTAGCAGTGTGAAGCGATTCCCAATAAAAATCAAACAAGGAAATCACTAACAGTATTTTCTATATTAAACAATCATATAAGAACCATCTTAATAAAGCTACATTTTAACAAAGTCGAAATTCAAACCTTTGAATGATCACAAAAACAGTTTTATTACTGTCGCAAGAAGGAAATAGCTATCAGTTATTTTCAATCATATACAATTCACAATAAAAATCAAATAAGAAAATCACTAACATTATTTCCATTATAAACAATCGTATAAGGAAACACCTACATTTTAACAAAGTTAAAAACGTAAATTAAATTAATCGAAAGATGACAAAAACTGTTTTATTATTATTTAAAAACCTAGCAGTGTGAAGCAATTCCCAATAAAAATCAAACAAGGAAATCACTAACATTTACTTCCATCTCAAACAACCATATAAGAAAGAAGCTATTTATAATTCATCAAATGATCACAAAAAGCAGTTATGTTACGATTTTAGACATAACAGTATGTGAGGTAATTCTCGATAAAAATCAAATAAGAAAAAAGCAATCTATTCCAGCTATATTTTACTAAAGTCAAAAGACATAATTTAGAAGTTATCAAATGATCACAAAAAGCAGTTATGTTATGATTTAACACATAACAGGATGAGAGGCTATTCTCAATAAATATCACTAACAGTTTCTTCCATCTTAAAAATTTGAATCAAACTATATCTATATATAAAGCCAAAAGCACCCATGAACTTTTGAGAAAACTAAAAGTCACACCCCCATTATTGAGCGAAGCAAGCGAAGCTCACTTTCCCTCACTTTGTAACTTCTTTATAAGAGCATCAGAATGTAATGGCTTGACCAATTGATATGAAATTTGGCCAACAGTTAAAGAATACTGAGTACAATGTTTTGGTAAAAAATATTTACGAATTTCCTTCTGGATTTTATTTTACAGGTCACGCAATTTCGCTTGTTATTTTAATGTAAGTTGAAAGAAAAATTATATTGGGTTTATGACATATGGGTTTATCTCGTTTCATTTAAATAAGATAAACATATATTAATTGTTTGTAACTGTTTTGTTTACATTTCAATGTTTACTTTCATCCTAGGTTAAAGTTGGAATGTAACAGTTTATCAATGGAAGTAACAGTTTTGCTATATTTGTTTGTTGCTCAAAGGCCCAACATAATATTGGTCGTCGCACCAATAATGCAAATATTGTAAGAGAGTGGTGTCGTGAACAAGAAGCTGATAATAATAGGCAGTTAGCTAATCAATTCCAACTTGAATTAGATGCACTAAAATTTTACACTTTGGACTAACTGTCATCGGCAACGACTAACAGCTTCAAACCAATTACCGACTTGTTCGCGTTGTCGTTCAAATGCAAATTAATTCACGGCGTTAAATAATATGGATGTGTCAAGTGTCCCGAACGAATTAACTGACCTGGCGATTGTAGAACAAATTTTGATTATACATTTTGAGTACATCCTGCTATGCACATTTACAAAGTACAAGCAAATGGTCAGGATGGCCGGTTTCACTACAAAGGTACAGTATGAACTATCAGATAAATTTGTCATTCTTTAGAACTTAAATAATATCGGGCAAACAAACGGTGAATCTGTTGAAAGGGAACATATTGTAGGGTGTTAGCTGCTTTAGCCATTGACAATCTTTAAATAATGCTTCGCTCATTTATGCGTCTAAAGTGTAACGGCAGACCACCTTAGTATTAGCGGGAAGTCTCAAATCAAAGAAATAAAATTACCCAAACTTAAATTACGCAACACAGGCTATCAGTTAGGCAACAGTTTTCTTTAATTCTCAATGCTGTAAAAACTTTGTTGTAACATGTTAACTCAAATTGATGCAGATCGTTTAGCGTTCATTGGAAGTTATCAGTTAAAACTGAGAGCAAAAAGAGATATTTAAAATTATTATTAGCGGGAAGTGTCAAATCAAAGAAATAAAATTACCCAAACTTAAATTACGCAACACAGGCTATCAGTTAGGCAACAGTTTTCTTTAATTCTCAATGCTGTAAAAACTTTGTTGTAACATGTTAACTCAAATTGAAGCAGATCGTTTAGCATTCATTGGAAGTTATCAGTTAAAACTGAGAGCAAAAAAATAATGTAGGCAAACCTTTTACAACACAAAAAGAGATATTTAAAATTATTTTCTAACAAGTGTTTCAACAACTCTAAGATGTAGCTAAAATTACTCAAATTGAAGCACGGGTTCTCTAGTACTAATATAATAATAGTTATAAATATATGCCACAAGAAAGATTAAATGCCTGTATGAATAAAATCTATTACAAAATATGAGACATACATTAAATGATTAAGCAATCTTAATTCAACTGTCTCATATTGAAAAACTACTAATTTAATATATATAGAAATTTTCGTAAAACCACAAGCTCAACAACAAAACTCAAAATATTTTCCATACAAATAGCTTTATGTATTTAAGGTCTAAAACAGTAAGAACTAATATATTAAGAGAGTATAATTACCTGTATCAGAAAAATCCCCAAATCACAATATGTAGATGTGGAATATGTAGAACTAGAAACACTTGAACTTAAAAAATCGGCAAATATAATAATCAAAACGCTCGAAATTAAATAAAGCAACAAGATAATTGGTAATTAATGTTCACAGACTACAGTATTCGAGGAATAGGTTCACTAGCAAAGACAAGTGAATACTGGTTAGTTGACGCTGCAGACAGACCTTGAAGATTATGCAGTGACAATAAAAGTGCAACGCTACTTACCTATAAGATGCAAATAATTGCAGAACTGCATAAAGTGTCTAGATGCTACATTCCAAACAGAACTCAATATATTAATTATTCAATCCAAGTAGGCTGTTCACATTGTTCAAGCCAACACAGACAGGATGTCTACCTAAAGTCGTGCCTACAGGATGGAGCAAGTTACGTGACGCGCATGCGTACGTGCACATGTTTTCCTCCCGTCTTAGGCAAGACAATATTAAGACTGAAACCTATTACCCAAACTTCTATAAGCACTATATAAGTGTTAACAGTGCGAATTACCAGTCATTTGACTATTACCAATCACTAGGTGAACATGTCCTCTGGAAATGCTCCTTCTATTCAAGAAAACAAAATATCTTCGACAACGGACAACAATATATCTCCATTAACAGATAACTCAAATAGTAATCAAGGACAAAACACAGTAGACATAACTATGTTAATAATACAAGATCCCAAAGTTACCAGCACAACATATTTTTTAAATCAGGCGTTTGAAGAACTCATGCGGCAGCTAGTAGATGGATAGATCAAAAATGAAAATATACTACAATATTTTACCTATAAGTACAGAATATTTTTAAAACACATTCAGACGTCCTTGACCTAATAACAATACCATCTACAACATCTGTGATCACACACATCACCAGAGTACATGCCCAGCCCTGACTACGATACTCCCTATCACTATATTCTTACCTAATCACATTAATTATGACGTCATGTGATAATAACCGTGCTAAATACTACTCCCACGAAATCGAGAACTACGCAAATACCGGGTAGCCCGAAACAACCACACTCCGTGTTGGACCGACTTCACCGACAGACCTATGAACGCGGGCTGTCCAACAAATCATGAATTATTCACAATCACCGGGTAGACCGAGTCGATCATACATAACCCAACAGGAACGACCAAAAACAGACCCGAACGGGACGGGTTACGACACGACCAGGAAATATGCTCGATCCCGATGTACCGACACCGAAACGGGGTTGGCCCGACTTCACCGACATACATGTACAGACCTCTAAACGCGGGCAGTCCAACAATTGACGAATTATTCGCAATCACCGGGCAGCCCGAGACGATCATACATAACCCAGCAGGAACGACCAAAAACAAACACGAACGAGGCGGGTTACGACACGACCAGGGAATAAACCCGATCCCGATGTACCGACACAAAAACCCCGCCCCTATACCCCAATAAGGAGCGAAACCCGCGTTAGACAGATTACGAGACTACAACGGACCAAAAAGAATCCTTAACTCCGCCCACAATACAACACACCCGTATCTGACGGGTAAACCAGACGGTAGCGACAACGAATCACATTCACCCAGTTTGACGAGCCGGCCAATGGGACGGCGTCAAAAGATTATGTTATATGCCGTTCCATAATCTTTGCCACTTTACGAATTAATTACACGAAATCTAATAATCCGATCGCGCTCATATTTACACAGAATACAGTACAAAATTAGCTTAACCCATGTGATTTTTTTAACCCGGCTAAACCGGGTTGGTCCCCGGGATATGCTAATTATAGGATTATGTTTTGTCGCCCATAAACACATCAAACACGAACACACAGAACAACTACACTACACTCGAGAGGTAAGGAGATGAATAACAGGCTCAGAGACAACACAACAACACACCCCCCCTGAATTAATAACACATGCGACAAGAGATCAATTATAACGCACGAACTTTTGTTACAGTGAAAGGTGCCGGAGATCCAGCGAGAGCACCGAGGATGAGTTTGAATTCACACCCCTGCCTAACTCATCCACCACCACCCCTCTTAGCACCACCAACAACCGCCTACCCGAAACCACTCCTGCCACCACCACCACACCCCAATCAAGCTCCACCACACCTCAGTCAAACACCACCACCACACACCCCAGTCAAACACCACCACCACACACCCCCCAAAATCCACCGACAACGTAGGCGACTTCGAAAGATTCTTCCAACCATCCACAAGTGTGACGGCGACGGTCTTCGACTTTCCACAGTAAGTAATACAAAACCCCACCCGTTTATATAGGTACAGAGACCAGCCACTTAATAAATGTTATGCTGTCAGAATGTATAAAATGCTTTGTTTTAATGTACCAACGGAAAGCACAACGAAGGCGTCTGGGATACCAGGGTTCAGGTACGCATCACCTCAGTGGTGACACAAGAACGCAGTACAGACCTGTGGATAACTAATTCACAAATTGCGATTGTACATTACAGTTACCTAAAATGGACACATCCATGTGCATCGGACAAATTACAATCCGGCCGTAGAGAAACTAGAATTTCCCCTGTCAGCCTCTGTTTACAGTTATCAAGGGCACCGTAAATTCATGATAAACACTTGAAACACGGATGGCGTTTTGCCACCACTTCCTCTTAACTATTATGCTTAACATGGACAAATACGAAACGCCAACAACTAATTACTAACTCTATGTTCCCTTACAGAATCCAGGACAACGAAGACCTGTTGACACTGGGTTTCCTATCGGAAATAACCGACGCACTCCAGTAGGTACTCTCAACCACCATATTAAACCTAACCTAGTCTAGGCTAGTCTAACACATAGTAGTAAATGCATGACATAGTTCCCAACAACGGAAGACGAGACTAAATCGGTACTAACACGACATACCCGAATACAAACCCAGGACCAACGACAATATCAAAATGGACACACAATACACACACACCCAATTCAATGATGAACCCCAATAACGATAACCAAGTATTTTACTTTATAGACTAGAATAACATTTGACCCAAAATAACATGTTAAAGCGATCTAATATCAGGACCATCAAACAGAAATATAAAATAACAAAATAAGAAATACAAAATTCAACCAACCTCAATCTTCCCGGTGTACAAATAGAAGTCCAACTTTAAACACGGACAGATAGAACACGGCTTAAACCGGGCACCGATGATATACCAAATCGTACTATCCGAGCACAAGTGAACACTTAAAGATACAGCTTACCCAAAATGAATACCCGACATGCACACTTGAATCACTCGCAAATTTCAGAAACATCGACCAAGCGTCCCAATTAGTAGACCAAGACATAGTTAACTTCAAAGCCCGGTAATGACGGGCTAACGAGACCACCATAACGCAAGTAAAAAGGAAGAGCCCACAAACCAAAGTTTCTCCGGTGCACATGTAGAAGTCCAAGAAAACTTTAGCCACGAACAAACGTTTCACGAACGTCCACTCAAGGTAGATAACAGTTTGATTGTTCTGTTACAGAGACAAGAAGGAGAAGAACGTACCATCGAAGAAAATAAAAAAGAAACCCGCCCGCCCAGCCACCCACACATCCACCGAACCAGCCGCCCACACAGTCGCCGACCCAGCTACCCACCCGCCCACCAAGATACAAAGAAAACCCGTCCGCCCAGCCACCCTCACATCCACCGACCCAAAAACCCGCCCGCCCACCGAGCCAAAAACCAGCCCGCCCACCGACACAGTCACCCACCCACCCACCAAAACCAACCCAGGCACAGTCACCGACACAGTCACCCACCCACCTACCAAAACCAAACCAGGCAAAGTCACTGATCCAACCACCAAACAATCCACCGAAACCGACCCAGGCAAAGTCACTGATCCAACCACCAACCAATCCACCGAAACCGACCCAGGCACAGTCACTGATCCAACCACCAACCAATCCAGCCAGTCCTCGTGCAATTCCCAGCCTCCCAGTACACCTGAACCCCCACCCAACAAGAAAGTGAAGAAGAATTCTTCAAAAAGGACCCCAGTACAGACCAGGAGCAAGGACCAAAACATGTAGTGAGTCTCCATACCCAGCCCACCCCTTCTACCATAAACTTTTTTGTAATCAGTCCTTTAACGTTTGTGCACACCTCTGTTTCCGAACACATGTCACTTTTATAAGTAGTTTTATATCAGCTGTTATGTCAAATAACTTAGTATATACAATACTCGCCTTTGGCTCGCTGGGGGCTCCGCCACCAGGCCCCCTAGCTGTTAGTCGTCATTGGTAGATAGTAGTTTAGTTGTAACAAAGTTGAAACAAAGCGGGCAGTGAAACAGTCAATATTACGTAATTAAAAAAAATTTCACGAATACATTATAGGAGGTTGGCAAGTTAATTTCAAGCTCCACCTTAAAAAAACCCTTATAAAAACTCTTGTCTAAAGTTTATAAAAAAAAGATTAGTAGATAAGAGTTTAGTTGTAACAAAGCAGGAAGTGAAACTGACGATATTACGTTATCTGAAAGCAATTTCATGTTTATATTAGAGGAGGTTTATAAGTTATGTCCGAGCTCCAATTCAAACCCCTGCTAAAAACAAAAAAAAAATAAAAATATCTTTTTAAATGCTGTAAGATTATAAGATGGTAATATCTACTTTCAAACCTATTTCCTATAAAAATAAAAGGGGGGAATTCTAGACTTTGGGGGGGGGGGGGTTGAAAGGCCAAGTCCAAGAATTGTAAAGAAGTCAAGAAGGCAATACAAATAAAAAAAACTGTAAGATGGTTATTACCGAAAAGTAGTCTTTAAAAGGCATTGTGGGGGGCTTCTGTTCCCCATAAAGTGAGAATCTTAAAAAGTTATTTCCCATAAGAATAACTTGGGGGAAAATTCTTAAAAAGGGTTACTATAGGAAAATTTAACTTTTTAAAATTGTCTAGTTTGTTTGGAGGACAGGAAATTTTAAATTTCGGGGGGGGGTTGTTATTGTAAAACGCCACTTTTCAAGAAGGACGCAAGACGTAAAGACCTACAATCATACTAAATTTCAGATATCCAGTTGATTTAGAATTGGGTAAACGCGATTTAGACCGACGCACTTGTAGGAATGACATTGGGGAAGTCAATATTTTGGAAGGGGGTTATTATTTTCAAATGCCAATTTCCGAAAAGGGTGCAAGACCAACAAATGGGCCAAATTACAGTATCTCCAGCTAATCTAAAAATGGGTAAACGTGATTTAGACCGATGCACCTGTAGTGACTATAGGAATGATATAAGGGGAGAAATCAATTTTTGAGGGGCTGGGAGGGGAATTTTTATATGGTTCATTTTACATTCACCTTGGTGTTAGCTTTAATACAGTAAAGTGTGTATAGTTGCAATACCCTTGTGCCCATATAACATGTAAAGAGTCCTTTTAAAACTTTGTAAATGTTATGGAGCTCGTAAACATATTTCACATTTTGACATTAAACTTAAGTTTTAGGGGTTAAAGAGTAAAGTTGTGAAAAAGCATGTACAGTGTAGAATTTAAGGTAAACTAAGGAAAATACAAAGCATTAATAATAATTGCAAAAACAAATCGCAAAGTTAGGAAAACGTAGCGAAAACAAAAAAAAAGACTTAAAAGGAGATAGGTCCACCATTTTGCATTTTTGGGGTGGTTAAAATTTAAAAATGGGAATTTTGCAAATTTCACCAATTAATTTAAGATCCCATACTACGTTACTGCCAAATGTCAAATCTCCATCACGTTTCTAAACCTTTCAGATGAGCACACCAAAGTCGGCCACTTTCAATGTTATTCTCCATAAGAATAACGTGGGGCTCGTAAAAAATTTAAAATGTTGACATTAAAATTAAGTTTTAGGGGTCAAGGAGTAAAGTTACGAAAAAACATGTAGTGAGTAAAATTTAAAGAAAAGTAAGGAGAATACAAAGCAATTATAATATTTTCAAAAAGGAATTAATTAAGTATGAAAAAATAGCGAAAACCAATAAAAAGTTTAAAGAAATTTACCAAATTTAGAAAGTAGGGCGTTTTTTGAAGCCGAAGGAGTGCGATTTGTGGAAAACACCTAACAGGGTTTTGTAGAAAATTTAATTCCTCTTCATGAAAATCCTTTCAAATCTTTTCTAGCTCTTACTGTTTTCGAGCTATATCCGTTTGAAAAAAACGTGTTTTATCGTTTTCAGAGGTCCACCATTTTGAATTTTTGGCGGGGTTAAAATTTTAAAATGGGACTTTTGCAAATTTCACCGTTAATATAAGATCCCCTACTACAATAATACCAAGTTTCAAGTCTCTAGCACGTTTCTAAACGGTTCAGATGAGCATACCAAAGTCGACCACTTTTAATGTTATTCTCCATAAGAATAACATGGGGCTTGTAAAAGTGGTAAAAAACCTTTAAATTTTGACATTAAACCTAAGTTTTGGGGGTTAAGGAGTAAAGATACAAAAAAACATTAAATGAGTAAAATATAAAGTAAAGTAAGAAGAATACAGAGCATTAATAATATCTGCAAAAAGAAATTATTTAAATATGAAAAAATAGCGAAAACAGTAAAAAATGTAAATGAAATTTACAAAATTTTGAAAGTAGGCCGTTTTTTGAAGCTGAAGGAGTCCGATTTTTTGAAAACGCCTAAGAGGGTTTTGTATAAAATTTAATTCCTGTTCCTGGATATACTTTCAAATCTTTTCTGTTACCGTTTTCGAGCTACATCCGGTTGAAAAAAAGTGTTTTTTTCGTTTTCAGAGGTCCGCCATTTTGGATTTTTGGGTAGGTTAAAATTTGAAAATGGGACTTTTGCATATTCCACCGATAATGTAAGATCCCATACTACAATACTACGAAAATTTGAAGTCTCTAGCACGTTTCTAAGCGGTTCATATGAGAGTACCAAATTCGGTATTTTTCAATGTTATTTCCCATAAGAATAACATGGGGGGGAATTCGAAATTTCGGGGGGGTTAAAATTTGAAAATGCGACTTTTCGGATTTTTCCCGGGGGTTTGGGCACTAGACATACGTCCACCGAAAATTTCAAGTCTCTAGCTCATCTAGAAGTGGTACACTTCTACATACACTCATGATAGGTGGGACACTCGGGTCTTCGGTCACTTGACTAGAGAGTACTGGCGAAGAGGCTGAAGACTCCATTTGGATGATAGGTGGGACCTTGAGTCTTCGGTCACTTCACTAGGCGTCTTCGTATTTACAGAAATATGCTCTAAAACAGCGCTCCCGTAATCAATAAGGGTGTAACGGGGGCTACCGAGAGCGAGGACCGTGATGATCGTGACATCGAATTGTTGTTGATAATAAATGTAGTGTTATCCCGGTTGTTGGGTGGAGGACTGGAGCAATAACAATAGAAAACGTTAGTATATACTAATTATGGTTATTTGACCAAATAATAGACGTAGTTCAATAAACTGGTTTAACTTTTAGCGTGGTTGTGTGGTGTAGTAAAAATCTGTTGTTAAATTAAATTAAGTGGAGACTCCTTTCTGGAGGTTCCTAATTGTATTAAACGACCGTGTAAACCTGTTTTGAATAATTCATTTTAAAAATACAACCGACTTCGAGTGTTTTAAAGGGAATAAAATAATGTCGACAAAGTAAACCTTTGTATTACTGAAGCTTGTGCATTTTAGTATCGTATTGCATCGTCGAGAAGATGTAATACGAAGCACTGGATTTATGCCAAACCATTACTAGATCGGTCTGATGAAATTGATAAATTTAAATTATCTGTGTTAGGGTGATTGATTGCACAATTCGTATTCAACTATATATTGTTAGCAGCATTCCAAATCAGATTCCGTTTTCGAACCCACATAACAAAAATTATAGGTTAAAATGCATTGGTACGGTATCATCTTATCATGTAAATTAGATGCGTACAATCGTACGAGTAACAACACTGTTGTACCCGGCCCGACACTGTAGGTTAAGCCCGGCTGTCCCGGGTGGGAGAGGGGAGTTGTAACTTGAATTAGTAGCATGGTCTTTTACCTTGGATAGGGTTTGCATGGTTGTCCGGGGTGTCATATTCACCCGTCCCTGACGGGCTCGGACTAGTATCCGGGCTAATCTCGAGACCCGTCGTGACCGGGCTCCGTAACGTACCCGGGTCAATGATTGTGGCCTGGTGAAGCTGGGTTGGTACGACAACCCGGCCCGTACGGGCTCGGAGCAGTAGCTCGGGCTCATGTCAAAACGACAGGGTTAACAAAACAACCCGTCCTGACCGGGCTTAGACTAATATCCCGGAACTATGCTGAGGCCCGGCCTGTCCGGGTTGCTGGGAATTGCCCGGGCCTATGGCGAGGCCCTGTACGACCGAGTTAACAAAACAGCCCGTCCCGACCGGGCTTAGACTAATAGCCCGGACTTATGCTTCTGCCCGACCCGCCCGGGTTGCAGAGAATAGCCCGGACCTATAGCGAGGCCCGGTACGGATGGGTTAACAAAACAGCCCGTCCCGACCGGGCTTGGACTAACAGCCCGAGCTTATGCTGATGCCCGGCATTTCCGGGATGTTGTGAATTGCCCGGGCCTATGGCGAGGCCCGATACGGACCGGTTAACAAAACAGCCCGTCCCGACCGGGCTTGGACTAACAGCCCGAGCTTATGCTGATGCCCGGCATTTCCGGGATGTTGTGAATTGCCCGGGCCTATGGCGAGGCCCGATACGGACCGGTTAACAAATAGCCCGTCCCGACCGGGCTTGGACTAATAGCCCGGGCTTCTACTTATACCCGGCCCGTCCGGGTCGCTGTGAATTGCCCGGGCTTATGGCGAGGCCCGGTATGACCGGGTCAATAATACAGCCCGTTCAGATCGGGCCTGGGTTAACAGCCCGGGCCTATGCCGGTCCCGGGATGTCCGGGTTGCTGGGTTTTACCCGGGCTTATGTCGAGGCCCGGTACGGCCGGGTTAATAAAACAGCCCGTTCCTGTCGGGCTCGGACTACCAGCCCGGGCTTAGATCGAGGCCCGGTACAACCGGGTTACTAAATTAGCCCGTCTCTGTCGGGCTGAAACTAACAGCCCGGGC